CTATGAGGCGCAGGCGACTCGACGGCACATAACAACAACAACAACATGCAATTTTACTGTAGTCCTAGCTAACATCCCTGAATTTAATATAATTCTTTTGAAAGACCAATAAAAAACAAATAAACCACCAATGTCTAACAAAACAAAAAAAATTTTATAACAGATAAGGATGTGTTGATAGGAGAAGGATTATAAAGGAATACACTGACTCTATAAGAATGAATGAGACAAGAGAACAGAAACATTGATAAACAGATAAAGAGGAACTTAATCTATATAATTTTAAAACACATTACAAAGCTAAGTAAAGTATCTATCTCCTTGCCTTTGAAACTACTTAATAAGTTTCATATGGGAAGGGACAAAAATTAAGTTTTAGTCATCATTGTATCCTAAATACCGTCACAAGTAATTAGCATACAATGTAACACCTAATAATTATTTGGAAAATGATTACACGAATAAATAATTGTTAAAAGTGAAAAAAAAAATCACACTAGCTTCGGATTATTTGCCTTGTTCTTGTGAAAGAACATCAATTGAGAATTTCTACTTCCATTGTTTATGTTCACATTAGCTTTGAAATAAGTAAAGGAATGTTATATTTTGGAGAAAGATCAATAATGAGACAGTAATTCAATAAACATTTAGTGAGTATGCTACCAATTATCAGGCTCTCAGGGGCTATTTACAATGAAAGATTTGAAAAGAATATGCTATACGTATATAGATATTATGGAAAAACTTCTGGTAGGGGTTCAGAAAAAAGTATCACAGTAGAGGCAACATTTAAGGTCAATCTTAATGAACAAAAAAAGAGCATAGCAGATGTGCAATGGAGAAAGCCATTCCAAACAGACGGAAATACTTTCACAAAGGAACAGTGTGAGAATATGCAAATAGTATAAGATTTTAGAAATGTGGATTAATGTTGCAAAGAGTGAAGATAAAGATAGAAAATAAAAAATACCAAATAGATAAATGTTATTAAACTTGTTTGTATACAAACTCTACCAAATGTGTGTATACAAATCATTTGTTTACATACTGTCTTTTTAAAATGGCTTCATTTCAGTTGTGAACTGTGAATCCTTAAAACATTGTGTAATACTGTATAAGTACCATGATATTTTGAAGGTAAGAGATTTGGGTAGAAATATTTAATAAGGAAAACATTCTAGATTGATGATTACAATAGAATATATGGGGGTTTTTTTTGTTTTGTTCTTTTCTTTAATCCAAAAAATACATTTTAAGCTTATGGGCTATAAGGTACTTTATGCCCTCTGCAAAATTAATTTTAAAGGCTAAAAGAATTAAAACTACATGTTAAGTTGAAAGTATCTCTAAGACTTATAATGTAAATATTAACTTTTAAAAAAGCTTCTCATTGAGCAAAAAAGAAAAACTCACCTTCCTCTGGTAAATAGCAATCCAGTCTGTTGTGGCAAACCACTTGTGAGTTTTTATATCACTCACACCATTCTTTAGATTTCCAAACCGCTTGGTCAAATCCACCTGGAGTAGGTTTCTTAGAAGATCCTTAAGATCAGAACTGAAGTGGGACGGGAATCGCACCTGCACAAACATAAATGTACCATTGGTAGAATGCAGAACCAAGATTTTTTTTTCCTTGTGATATTTTATTGTTTTGATTTCTGATGGCTTTTTTTTAAAAAAAGGTAAGTAGTTCATTACATATATAAAAATATGTACTGATGATTTTCAAACACTATTAACTACACAGCATAGTCCCCACAATAGTCTTAAAAGTAGAAAAGCATTTGGGAGGATGAAGGAATGCTGTTTTCTCTGAGTCTTGTTTTGATCATGAATTTCCTTTAAGAAATGGAAACTCTTTCCAGAAAAATACACCCACAAATCACATTTTTCCACCTCTGTCCAAAGGCCCAACCATCTTCAAGAGGGAATCTCTTGCCCCTGCATTATAAATCTCTATTTTAGAGATAATGAAGTAATCTCATAATTTAAAGTTGAGCAAGCATCATGTGAAAGATTATTAAGTGCACATTTTGAAAAGCAATCTATCACAAAGGAAGTCTAAAAATGATGGTAAAAGTCCACAGTGTTTCTCACAGCATAGAATACTGGTTTCCATTTGTCAGTAGGTGACTTTTAAACAGAGTTCTGCATTATGCAGCAGTTATTTAAATTGGTTTAAAAGCAGTTTTCCACAATCTCAGTTTGAGACATGGGGTTCTAATGAATCTGAATCCACTTGATGGTGGCAGTGTTTGTTGTTGTTGCTTAATTACAAAGAGTTTATAATTAGTTGGCTGACCTCCTTTCTGGAAAAAAAACCCAAACACAAAACAACTAAAACAAACAAACATTAAAAAACCCAAACAAACCAAACAAAAAATGCCTACATAGTTAAAAGATGTTATCTGTTAGACAATCAATGAAATGAAAATATAATTGATAAGAGACCTAGGTTCTTCTTTTCTTATTTTTGTCAAACCTGACTGTGAGTTCACACTCTTTCATTTTGAAATCTATTGTTGTTATGTACCATTGAGTGGGAACTGACACAGAGCGACTCCAGCTGATTTCAAGAGAGAGTAAATTGTATGGGAGGACATTACCCATTTCCTTGTCCCGTGGAGCATCTGGTGGAGTCAAACTGCTTGCCTTTGGGATTACAGCACAGCTTACCCCTAGAGCTCTCTTTTGAAATGTTGTTGTTGTTGTTGTTATGTGCCATTGAGTCGTTTGCGACTCATAGCGACCCTATGTACAACAGCCCTAAACCGTGCTCTATTCTGTGCCAGTCTCATTACCTCTGAGACGCCCATCCCGAGTACCCCAGTCACTGAATCAATCCACCTCATAGAGGGCCTTCCCCTCCTGCGCTGTCCCTCCACTCTACCCAGCATGATGTCCCT